TCCGGACTGGGGAATGTTGGGCCCTCCCTGATGAACTCCCCAACCATGTTTGGGTTGGTCTGGAGAAGAAATTGTGGGGGCAGCTGGGTGATGGAGCCAGGTGGGGGGGTCTGGCGGGGGTCATGCCCTGCCACACAGTAGGCCTTTTACAAAGAAAATGCCCGTTGACAGGATGCAAAGAGAAGAGCTGCCTCAGCTCACGCAGATGCAGAAGAGCCAAGAAAAAGGAGAGATGGGACTGGGGTACAGCCAGACAGCCCTGAGTTCAAATCCTGCTTCTATCACTTATGGTGCATTTGGTCTCAGGCAAGTCACTTCACTTCCCTGAGCCTCAATTTTCGCCTCCAAAAAAGAACACAATAATGTAACTCTTTTCTGGCAAGGGTCATTAATTATCAAAATAATTAGGGGCAAGTGATAGCATCCACATAGAAGATATAAAGCAAATTGTCACTATTACAATTCAGCAACTCAGATACTCTTGGGGGCAGCAGTAGCTTTCTCTTTGGAAGAACTGGGTCAATTTCATTCATTTATTGATTCAGCAAATATTTATGGGACAAGAACTGGGCTAGTCACAGGAATATAGTGATAAAGAGAGCAGAGCTGGACAATTACAGAAAAGTCAGGGCCACTTATGGTGCATGCTGGGATGAAAAAGAAGGGAATCGTGGGGATAGTCATGAAAAGAGGGATCCAAAAGAGGGCTCAGAGAAAGCCTTCTTGAAGAATATCATTTTATTGTCTTTAAAGTAGAGTAGGACTGAAGTTCATGAACATTTGTGTGGAAGAAAGTTTCAACCTGGGAGTGGCAGATGGCAGATTGCCACGTTCACGGCCATTCACGCAAAGGGAGCTCCTGGAAGGTCCAGTGGATCACTGAGCACAGAGGCTATGGACCTGAATCCTCTGCAGATACTTCCAGGGCTCAGGAGGCCAATTCCAGCCTGCCCACCTTGGGATCAGTCTGCCCTGGTGGAGATGGGTAGGTCGGAGCACAGAGACCAGTTTCAGAAGACGATCCAACCCCTTAAAATATTTTTAGAACAGTTTCATTTCTTTCCCACCTAAAAACGTATTTTCATATGCATTATATTTATGGTAAGAAAGAACACTTTTTTCCCTTAAAGCTGTATGAGAGTTCAATATCTGTTCATTGTAATACTGCTCAATTTCCACCTTTTAAAACTCTGAACCCTATTTTATATATTTTAAAATACAAGTCAATGGGAAAGTAACAGTCAATGACTATTTTCATTTGATACAGTCTTTGAGGGATCCATTTAATTTGAAAATTAAGATTGGCTTCTGTCACGTTTACTTAAGTATGTAAAAATGACTTATCCTCTGTGGTGCAGTCTAGATATTCCTTTTTTAAAATTTAAAGAACTTAAAATTTACCCTCTTCACCATTTAGAATTGTGCAGTTCAGCAGTCTTACCTACATTCACACTGGTGTGCAACCAATCTCCCACTTGCATTTTTGATGCAAATGTTGATGAAAGTGACTTCAAAAGCCAGGAGAGGCTGCATCCTGCAGTTTGAGAAAGATTGGTCTGTATCCTCTGAGGCAGGGAACCAATGGGGCCTCTTTTGCTAGAGGTCACAGAGCTGAACAAAGGGAAGAGTGAGGATTCAAACTCAGGCCCCTGATTGCGCCCTGCTCTGACCACCACCCGAAATACTTTCCCGTCTCCTCCGACTGCACCTTCTCAGAGTGGAATATGCTAGAACCACTCTCAGCCAATTGACGTGGGCTGCCTAATAGAAATTCAACTTCCCGGATTCCACCTTGGAAGATTGAATTTGCATTTTAAGTAAGTCACCACCCCTCTTCTCCAGGTGATTCACGGAGGAAGAAACTTGGCAGCTCTGCCTGGCTGTTTCTGCCCCTGCCCACGGAGCTCTGCTGAATGCTGCCCAAGCTGCCAGCCCTGGCTGGGGGCCAGCTTGGCTGACCTTGAGTGTCTCAGCAGGATGGCAAAGCAGGGGTATGTCCCCAAGGCTCTCAAGGGCCCTTGAGGCCCTTCTGGACAGGGACAGGGCATGAGGGAGACGTGCAGGGCAAGCTGAAGGAACAGAAGGTGGGACAGTTCCCGCTGCCCTTGCCTCGAGGGAAGCTTGTTTCGTCCACCATCTGCTGGGATCTGGAAGGGAGTGGCCAGCCTCCTCCCGGCACTGGGGGATTAGCAGTCACTTATCTCAGCTGTTCCTCCATTGGAGGTGTCGCAGTATTTACAGAGAAGTCAGAAACAGACTTGAGCCACACTTAATTCCTCCCCATGAGCCCTCCCCATCTCCTCTGTGGCCTCTACTGCATTCCTCGGGCTAGGAAGGAGGGAGAGGCTCTTTCTAGACCAGACCAGGGGTGGGGGAGCCAGCCTTCTGAAACATTTCTCTTTTCTTTCCCCTGCACATTTGTTCACTCCCACTGCCCTCTGGCTGGAGCTGGGTTTTAGTTTTCATTAAAAGAAGAAAGTGATGTGACTGTGAGGGATGTGGGGCGGCGGGGCACACATCCTAGTGCTCAGAATTCAATACCAGTGCATGCCTAATCTCGGCCACATGCTTCCCCCTGTTCCACATGCAACCACCCAGGAGATTAACTCCGGGGGAGGGTAGTTCAACTCCAAATGGATTCTACTCTTGGCCGATTCTGGCGGTGACTGCCTTCTGACATGATAGGTGATGAACCATTTAATGAGATTTTGAAAAGGAGGACAAAGCAAGGAGCAAGGGGAAAGGGGAAGCAGGAGGTAGAAGGGGGATTCTTCTGGATCTTGGAGTCACATGGGCCTAACCATCTATAAGCTGAATTTTCACTCTCTTCTTTCCCGATATAAGTCAGGGAACTCACAAAAGGATTTCTAAGAGCCTTTTTTAAAATTCCTTAAAAGGACTTTGCCCTCCAAGAACGAAATGCTGATGCTCATAGGTTTCTGCTTGGAAGGTGTTCGTCTTAGCTCAGAGTTGGCTTGCTCCCCATGCCGGCAAGAACTCTATTTATGGAGTTTCGGTTTTTCAGGTGTTACCTGGGGCAAGCCTGCCTTTCCTGGAGAGCCCAGATGTGGCGTTGCCTAACCCAAGCCTGACCGCCATTCGTGCTCACACAAGTGCCAGAGAGTGCGTAGGTGAGATCTGTGAGCTCAGAGACGCGGGCTCCTTTCACTCCCCCACATACTGTGGAGCCCATCTCCTTCCCGGGAAAGGTCAAGTTTGGGCCCACATGCGACATACGAGGATAGTAGTCAGAATACTAATCACTAACATTTACTGAGCACTTACTAGGGGCCACGCACTAGCTTGAGACTTCATACGGGGCATGGTCCGGATGAAGCTTCCTAGAGGAAGCAGGACTGACTGGCAGCTGCAGCATCTGCAAAACTGCTCTTTGATGTGACGTCACCAGCCTACACTGAGGGGCTGTGTAAGGAGTACACCACCTCTGTCCCAAACGGAGGTATTACCGCCTCTCTTGCAAAAATGCCGTCACCGGCGTTCATCGGAGGCCATGGTCTCCTTTGTGAGCTACTTAGAAAAATGTCCGTGCTGGCTCTAGTCCCAAGAACAGTAGCACTTCCGTCAAGTACCTGGTTTGTTGTGATCCTGGAGATCCTGAATCTAGTGACTCACCAGGTTTTTCTTTTGGCAGGGGCTGAGAAAAATCTTAGAAAACCACCCATGTGGCCCAATAGTTAACATCATTACAAATCGTTATGATCCGGGGCGCCTGAGTGGCTTAGTCGGGTAAGTGTCTGCCTTCGGCTCAGGACATGGTCCCAGAGTCCTGGGATCGAGCCTGATGTGCAGCTCCCAGCTCAGCCTGGAGTCTGCTTCTCCCTCTCCCTCTCCCTCTCCAGCTCCCCCTGCTTATGTTTTCTCTCTGCCAACTAAATAAATAAATCTTAAAAAAAAATAAATAAATAAAAACCTTAAAAAAACAAACAAAACCAAATTGTTAGGATCCATTTTACAACCCAGTTCGACTTTTCATTTTTTCTTTGTCTCCCATTTTTAACTTTTGTCTATCTTTGTAAGCTGCCATAAACCTTCTGTGGGACAAAACAAAGGATGAATGAACAAATAGATAAGGTTGAACTCTGGGGACAGTGGGGAGAGTATTTGAAATTGGAACCAGAGTTATCATAGATTGTACAGGTGGCCAAGAGCCCCAGAGGACTTGTAGATGTCTGTAGGTTTCTTTCATCCCAGTGTAAGTACAGTATTGTGTCAGTTTTCCTCTTAACATCGTGATAGGTATAGCTGGAAACTTGGAATAATATTTCCTCCACTACAAAAATAAGATGTGCTAATTGTGGCAAACGAGACAACATGACCAGAAAAGTACAAAGGAAATGACACGTCTGGTTGAGTTTTTTAAGGCCTATATCTTAACCTCCCTAAAATAAAACTAAATGTGATATAAAATTCATGAGGCCTTGGCTTCCATATCTACTTAATAGCCGCTGGACTGAAGAAAGCCAGCCTCCTATTCTGGTAGTTTGCAAGAATGTCCACTTGTTCTTCAAAGAGAGACATGCAATGCAAGGAATTTACATTTAAAGCATTTCTTGGTTTTACTCTCGTAATCTAAATTATCCCTGGTCAACAGCTGGAACCAAAGAATGCCAAGTTGGGAGCAGGGTCTGCCCATGAAACTCCACCATCCATATCTCACTTATATATTTTAGAGGGCAGGTGGTAGTTTCCAACTCAGCTGTTGAACTTTTCAAAACTGCCGTCTAAAAGCAGAGATCCACTGCTAACATAAAACTAAACCATATAAATACGTTGCTGAGCGCTTTGTCTTCATGTGGGGGGTTGGAGAGCAGCTGTTTTGGGGAACATGTTTACAGCGATTGTATGATCAGTATTTCCAAGTTCCTCTTGGTTAAGACTGCAGATAACCAATTCACTTCTCCCCCACAGCCTCTAATTTAATTTCAGAAATTAGAAAAGTAATAAAGACAAAGGCTTTGCCTAAAGCCAATGATCTGTATTAACTGGGGGAAGGAAACAGAGAGCGTGCCTCCAAAATAAAAACAACTGAAAAGCCCTCCCAAGCCCTTACTTGAGTGTGAATGCCAGCACTCACATAAATAACTAGGAATAGGTGCTTCTGACCTTTCAGAGACAAGAACCAGGCTGTGATAACTGAGAAGGGAAAAGAATCAGCCATTAAACCAGGATGTGGGGGGTACCTGGGTGGCTCAGTCGTTAAGCGTCTGCCTTCGGCTCAGGTCATGATCCCAGGGTTCTGGGATCGAGCCCCGCATCGGGCTCCCTGCTCAGCAGGAAGCCTGCTTCTCCCTCTCCCACTCCCTCTGCTTGTGTTCCTGCTCTCGCTGTGTCTCTCTCTGTCAAATAAATAAATAAAATCTTTAAAAAAAAAAATAAACCATGATGTGGCTTTGAAAAATGATCAGAAAGATCTCGGGCATGACCCGAAGGATGTAACAGAGTTAAGGTATTATATCACCAAAGAAATACCTGCAAGAACTGGATAGACCTCAGGTGAGAACATTCTTTATGGATGAACAAGAAGGGTGTCCCCTGTTCAGTTAAATTCTATTTGAGTATGCAATTTTCCGGGGAGAGATTCTAGCTGCTGTTTAATACTAGAGCTCAATATTTCTAACTGCCACAAAAGATTCATGCCAGGTTCATCTCCCCACCAGTGGATACAGCCATCTTCTTTCTGGGTCCTCTGTCCAATGAGAAGAGAGTCCAGAAGAGAGGTACAAAAAGGGACCCCTGTAACCCTACACCAAGCTGATCCTTTAGACTGGTGTAATCAGTCATTTGTGGTGTCCACCCGAGGATCACATCCTTATGCTGCTGGCTCAAGATGGTGGGTGGGGGTGAGGAGAGGGGGCAGGGAGATGGCAATGGGGGAGTGACCTACAACCCCTCTACCCTTCCCATGAAACCCGACAACGTTAAAGCGGAAACACATATAGATATATTGGCATAAGGACTGACGCTTTGCTTTCACACTGGGCAGTAGAAAACCTAGGGTAAGCTGTGCTCATTTCGTCCAACTCAGAGACGTGGGCCCCAAAATAGTAATGGGAAAGTCAAAACTGATCCCAGGAAGCAGAAAGCTTTATTAGAATGGCTCCAGTGTTCTAGAAGTACCCACACTTCAGGCTTAAATATCAAACCCTAAAATATTGTTCCATAACTTATAACTTTATGTAGTCCGATCTTTCTTTGATCGGGAAGCTCACCTTTATTCTGACTACATATGAAAAGTTAAATGCTAAGTTTGCCTACTTTCTCACCTGGAACATACTTGTGTGAATCAGAATCAGTCATGAGCAGATTTATTGCTTCTACTTCCTAGATTTCATAGAGATGTCACATGAATAGGTGGAGTACACCTTTCCAAAGCCTCTGAGTCAGTCACAATCACATAGACAGGGTTTCAAAACCTCAAGGTTGGTGTTGAGCAGCATCTAAGAATGAACAGATGCCCTTTGTTTCTTCAGATATTTGTGGGTGGAGAAGCTCCAGGTAACATTTTATAATGTCACCACACTGAGACTTTGATACATCTGAATACACCTTTCCCCCCCAAATGTGGCGTGCTAGAAAAACATAGTGCCTGATTGGCAGAGCCCATGTCATTTCCAGGAAAGTATCTTTTACCCTCCTTGTCTTTCTGAACGGTGTTTTAAATTCTCAGCATCAACCAAAAAAAGCATCCTGTTCTTGGTGACTGGCTTTGAACAAAGGGTTTTAAATAATTTCCCTGGGAAATTCAGGCTTGTTTTCACCTATGTGGAAACTCAAATATGTCCTTAGTCTCCCATTTTACAAATCACTTAGCAAAATTTTTCAGATGAAGAAATTTATTGATTTGAAAAAGCATTATTTTTAAATAGAATCAAAGTAGTGTTGCTTATTGTGCAAATGTAGCTATGAACAGGAGGAAAAATCTAATTTTGTAGCTAACTGGGGTTCCCTTGAAATCAAGATGTGGCTTATTCAATCTGCCCATTTAATCAATATTTATTAAATGCCTTCTCTGGGTAAGGTGTTGTACCATGTGGAGCCAAGAATACTACAATGAGTGAGACAATGCCTGCACACCAAGAAAATGCGTACATTATGTTAGATGGTACATAAACTCCACCATCCACCACAAAGACCTGTGTTAAGCAGCATACAAAGGTATTTCACCAAGGCGGGAAGGCGTTGGAAAGAGGGAGAGAGTCCTTGTCATGGCGCTTGGGCAAGGCTTCATAGTCTATGGGTTTTGAGCTGAGCCCATATAGAATAATGGATTCAACAGTTCCCTCCTACCCAACTCACACCAGTTTGGCATCATTTTGTAAATGAGTTTTAGAGGGGGACAGGACTACTGAAGGCCAGGATTCGAAGACTTAAGAAAACAACAACAGAACTGGAACTTTAGTGTAAAACTGGAAAGCTTAGGTATATTGTGCTATGTTTGTGTAATGAGTTTATTTACTAATCGTTGTTCAAAAAAGTGAAGCACACAGACGAAGGTCCGTTGTTCCCTCTTGGAATAGTGTGTTCAACAGGCAGGCATTGAATGCCCACTACACAGTCCATGCTGTACTTCTGAGACGGTTCCATGTAAAGTCTGAAATAAGTATGCTACTGAAGGCGTCACTGAAATAGCCTTTGCAAGTGCAAAGTGTGTGCGTGTGCCTGTGCGTGTGTTTTAAAGGGCAGCCACGTCTTTCTCTTCATGCATTGAAAGCTGGAACAGACTTGAGAGAGAGTTCTTCCCCACTTACCCCACCTCATTTCCCATGATTGATCGTACCAATCTCCTGGGACTGAGAAGTTTCAAGTTTGCTTGTACGTAGAGAAAACTTTGACTGCTGAAGCCTCTTTCTAAAAATCTAACCAAACACACCAAAACTGTTAACAGAGGGGAGGGTGTTGAAGGGCAAGAGAGCAAGGGACCTGTTACATTTCCCATTTTATATTTATGTATTAATATTTTTCCAGAAGCATGTATTAATTTTTATAAATATCAGAAAGGAGGAAGACAATCTAATTTAACATCCTCTTGCTTAAAGTCTGGCACGTTTTTGTCTTGCTTACCCAGCTGGGGGTTTCTACATAATAACCTCCACATACTTGAAGAAAGATATTGCATCTCCGAGAGACGTTTAGGATCTTTTTCACCAGTGGTGTTACTTTTACTTTTTTAAAGATTTTATTTATTTATTTGAGAGAGAGAGAGAGAAAGAGAAAGAGCATGAGCTGGGGGAGGGCAAAGGGAGAGGGAGAGGGACTAGCAGACTCCCCACTGAGTGTGGAGCATGACGCTGGGTTCAACATGTGGCTCAATCCCAGGACCCTGAGATCATGACCTGAGCTAAAATCAGAGGCTTAACCGACTGAGCCACCCAGTGCCCCCAGTGATGCTGTTTTTAAAAACCGTCTTCATATTTGGGGCAGCTGGGTGGCTCGGTCATTAAGCTTCTACCTTCGGCTCAGGTCATGTTCCCAGGGTCCAGGGATTGAGCCCCGGATAGGGCTCCCTGGTCAGCGGGAGGCCTGCTTCTCCCTCTCCCACTCCCCCCTCTTGTGTTCCCTCTCTCGCTGTGTCTCTCTCTGTCAAATAAATAAATAAAATCTTAAAAAAAAAAAACAAAAACAACTGTCTTCATATTTGGTTAATCGTCTAACTCTGCTTCAAGATACCTATGTGAAATAAAATCTCTTTTAGCCAGATTGGTATTGTATTTTAGCCAGATTGGTTAGGTATTGGGTTTCTGACACAGTGGAAAACAACCTTTGTTTAGAGAATTAAACTCATCTAAATACACCCACACAAAACTACAGAGAAGATAATGCCCTTGATGCTTCAGAAGTTATTTACAGAATATTCTCATTTTGAACACAAATTCTTGTCACACACACACACACACACATCTACATATCAGACATAGAATATTGACAGAGAATACTGAGCTAGACTGAAGTTATGACATCTTGAAAAGTTGCTTACATGAGTTAACTGTTGGCCTCAGCATACCTGTTAGCTATTTATTTCTCTTAAAAATCAAGTATAGATCAGACCTCTGGTTCTAGCCAAGATGGAGCACCCTATTCCTTCCAGGTGCTCCCTGTTACAACTGTGGACATAATATATCAAACAAACATAGGAAGATTCAAAGGAGGAAAGAAGAAGGTGGACTGCCTGGCGACTTTGGGACTTGAGAAACAACATGGTGATGAGTCTAGGTTTCCTTACTTCCTCCCATATAGCCCAGGCTGGGTGCTGGAGTAGCCTCCGTCCTGGAATCGCCAATAGGCATGGATAAAGTAAGCTATGAGAAAAATCTGTTCCTTCTAGTCAGAGAACCGACAAAGGAGTGGCCCCCCCACGGAAAGCCTTTTTGCCCACCTGCCCTACTCTGGCCAAACATTAATGCCCTAATAGGAAAAAATGCATCCCCCTCTCCCTAGTTTCAATGGTGCAGAATAGGGAGCTGATCATCCTCCCCACCCACCACCCCTGCAGAATCAGGGGGTGGTGCTCTGGGTCTGCTCAGTCGTGTTTGTGGGACTGAGGGACCGATCTTCCATTTTCTGCCGGTTGGAAGCAGGCGGTGCTCCTCACCTGCCACCAGGGTGGCATCAGCAGGCTGGCAATGAAGGTTCCTTGTGGTGGGACGCTTCTGTATTTTGGTGGCCATATGAATCTGTGTGTGCAGTAAAATGGCCTTGCACTAAATAGACACACAGACATATATGGAAAATGGGGATATCTGAATGCAGTTGATGGGATATATCAATGTCAATTTGCTAGTTGTGATATTGTACTCTAGTTATACAAGTTGTTATCATGGGGGGAGAACTGGATGAAGGTCTATGGGATCTCTGGATTATTTTGTACAAGTGCATGTGAATTTACAATTATCTCAAACTGCAAAAGTATTAAAAATCAAGTATAAGTTGTACAAAAAATTCAGTTTTTTTTTAGTTTTCCAGTCAGAGTCTGAGTGAATTAGTTCTTATATCCAGGTGATCATAATTGATGAAATTTACATAGATGCACTAAATATATCAAATGCCCTATATTTATAGCAGGAGTACTGGCTGGATACTTCTGGCATGTGGAGTTAGGCGCTGCTGGGCTGACGAGTTTCCAAGGTCCACGGGCATGTTGATGACTCAGGTGCCAATGACAGTAGGCAAACTACAGGGTGATGAAAGAGCCCAGCAGGAGAACTGATACCTACTTAAGGTGGAATCTGGCACAGTGAGCGGACTCAGCATGGTAGCCGTTGACACCATCCCAAAAGAAACTACTCTAGGAGCAGGTGAACACTTTGAACCAAAAAGCGTATTTTGCAAACAAAGAGAGCTGCCCCACACCACTTGGTACCTGAAGGCCTCAGCTGGGAGCACATGGTAACAGAACAGAACATAAAGGACAGGAAGTTAGTTTCCTGCTCTGGTCCAGATCCACAGCTGAACAGCGACCGAGACTTAGCCTGAGACGCAGCACTGGAAGGTGGCTATGAGGCCTGGCTGTTGGCAGCCAGGAGGAAGGGGCAAAGGCCGTGCAAATGACGGCCAGAGTGGATGGGGCACGGCGGTGGCCAGAGTAGCACAGTCCGTACTTTACCTTGAGTGTCTGTAAGATGCCCCCCAGGGACTCTTGGAAATGCCAAAGAGGCGGGAACCTGAAAAGACAGGAGCGTGTGAACACAGGGAACCGTGATACTCAGTTTTACAGATAGAGGTTATCAAGCAAACACAAATCTAGGCCAGTTTTTCTCAACCTTGGCCACACATGGGGCTGGGGTCGGGGAGAGACAGCGTTGGAGTACGGGGCCTGCCAAAAAAGAGTGACCCTGGTAAACAGTCCAGGCCGTCAGCTGAGACCCACAATAAGCTCCACCTTAGGGGGTAAGAGAGATGGACAGTAATCAGACTTTGAGTCGCTCAATCCCAAGATAGTGTAAAGTGATTGGCCTTAACCTGTCTGCCAAAATCAAAAGGAAATACCCTCTGGAGGAATCCAACATCCTACACAGCTTTAAGTTATCTCTGCAGTTTTTTATACACCATGTCTGGTACATACATATACATAAAGGAGTAGTTGGCAAGACCATGCAATTGAAAACCCACAAGAAAAAAATGGGCAATGGAAGGAGACCATAGGGAGATCTGGATACTGAACTTATCTGACCTACATGTTAGATATGTTTTAAAAAAACTGACTAATATGCTCAAGAAAATAAGCGGCAAAATAGAAAATTTCATCAAGGAATCGGAATCTTTTTAAAAAGAATCATATGAAAATTTAAAGCTAAACATATAACAAATCAATAACTCAATAGATGATTTTAAGAGCAGATTGACACAGTTAGAGAGGATCAGTGAGTTTTAGCGTGGGTCAGTAGAATATATTCAGATTAAAGCAAAGAGAACGAAAGAATACATGGCTGGTTTAACATTTAAAATTCAGTTCAGGGGTGCCTGGGTGGCTCAGTCATTAAGTGTCTGCCTTTGGCTCAGGTCATGTTCCCAGAGTCCTGGGATCAAGCCCCACATCGGGCTCCTTGATCAGCGAGAAGCCTGCTTCTCCCTCTCCCACTCCTCCTGCTTGTGTTCCCTCTCTCTCTGTGTCTCTCTCTGTCAAATATATAAAATCTTTAATAAAAAAATAAATAAAATTCAGTTCATATAATTCAGCACATTAACAGAACATAGCAGAATGATCATATGATCTGTCCAATATGCAGAAAACACATTTGATAAAAGTTAACGTCTGTTCATAATAAAAACTCTTAGCAAACTAGAAATAGAAGGAAAATCCTTAATCTAATAAGAAGTATCTACAATAAATCTACAACATTATATTTTATCTCTTGTTCCCTGCGATTGTGAGGAAGACCACAGATGTCAGCTATCATCACTTCTATTTTACATTATCCCAGTGCTCTTCAACAGTGCAGGAAGTCAAGAAATATAAATAAAAGGTATAAGAATTGGAAAGGAAGAAACAAAGCTGTCATTAATAGTGAGTGTAAAAAATTCAAAAAGGATTTATAGCCAAACTATTCAATTTAATAAGTGAATATAACAAAGTGAATTAAGGGACAAAATACAAGTTAACGTTATCTTTACATGCTAACAATAAACAAGTGAAAAGATAACATTTGAAATATACCATCTAAAATAGCACCAGAAAACATCCGTACCTAGGATTAAATCCAGCTAACGATACATAAGACAGCTACAGATAAAACTACAAAATATTAGTGCAATAAGTTAAAGACGACCTCAGTAAATGGAGAGACACGTCATGTTTATGAGTCAGAAGATTCAATATTATAACAGTCAGTTCAACCTAAATTGATTTTTAGATTCAATGCAATCCCTTCAAATTACTAGCAGTGCGTGTGTGTACAGAAATGCTTATTCTAAAATTATACAGAAATGCAAAGAGCCAAGAATGGCTAAGATAACCTTAAAGAACAACAAAGCTGAAGGACATACACTACTGGATAGCAAGAGTTAGGATAAAGCCAAGATAATAGAGTGCTGCATTTGTGCAACTTTAGACAAATAGTTCAGAAACTGACCCACACATAAATGTATAATTGATTTTGACAAATGCCAACTTGAACAATACTGAGGAAGTGATGATCTTCGTAATAAATGGTTCTGGATCAGTCGGATAATCATATGAAGAAAACGATGAATCTTGACCTCTCACACCATATGCAAATTTCAATTCTAAGCAAATTGTAGATCTAAATGAGTGAGTTGAAAGAATTAAGTTCTTAGAATATAACATAGGATAACATATTGATTACTTTGGAATAGGCAAAGATGTCTTTCTTTTTTTAAGATTTTTAATTTATTTATTTGAGAGAGAGAAAGCAGAGAGAGAGCACACACAAGTGGGGCGGCGGGGAGAATGCTCAATCTCTGGACCCTGGGATCATGACCTGAGCTGAAGGCAGACACTTAACCGACTGAGCCACCCAGACACACCTAGGCAAAGATTTCTTAAACAGAAAACACTAACTCTACAGAAATAACAAGAACTTCGCTTCAACAAAGAATCTATTAGGGGAGAAAAAACTGGGGAGAAAATATTTGCAATACATACATCCCACAAAGGGCTTAGATTCAGGCTATATAAAGAAGTCCTATAAATCAAGAAAAAGACAGACCAGCCAATATAAAAATGGACAAAAGACTTACAGAGGCGCTACACAAAAGAGGATATCCAAGCAGGCAATCAACATTTGAAAGTACACTCAGTCTCAATAGCAACAGGAAATGCAAATTAAAATTAAAATGAACTGGGGTGCCTGGGTGGCACAATCAGTTAACCCTCCGACTCCTCGTTTTGGCTCAGGTTGTGATCTCAGGATCCTGAGATCAGCCCCGTGTGGAGCCCCACATTGGGCTCCACACTCAGCAGGGAGTCTACTTGAGACTCTCCCTCTCCCTCCACCCCACCGCGCCACACTCTCTCTCTTTCTCTCTCTAAAATAAATAAAAATAAAACTTAAAAAAATAAAATTAAAATTAAAATGAGCTGCCATCACAGAGAGTAGGATGACTAAAATTTAAAAGACAGACAATACCAAATGTAGTGAAGGAAGTGACATATTAACATAACATTTGCCTTGTTGTTCTCTATCCCTTGACTTCAGAATTTTACCTCTTTAGCCAGATAACCCTACCAATTTAATCTCCAAGACTATTTCTCTCTCCCTCTTTCTCTCTCTCTCTCTCTGCCCAGAATATCATCTCTAATCTTTCCTGCCAAATCATGTTTCTCCTTTTCTTCTAATCTCTGTTGGCATTCCCCTTTAAAAAATCTTTCCAGCCCAACGCCAAGCCAACTTGACTTCCAAAGCAAGAATAAAGTCTTTCCTGTGCCTTCATCCCCAACCAGTTTCTGCTCTCCCCAACTCCCATCTTCTAAGCAGATACAGGTTGCTTGTTCTATGTATATGGAGATCATAAACACATGCGCTTCAGTCAGGTGTCTTTAATATCCTCTCAGTGCTTACCCTTTCTCTCCTTTTGAAATTTAGGCTTCCAAAGGCCAGGAACCATAGTGTATATCTCCCCTACAGCCTACTAATGAGTGACAATATTGAGTGTGTAAAGCTAAGAAAAGTGAAATGTCTTTAAGAACTTTATCTTGGAACGATTATTCTATATTTTGATTATTAAGAGTGCTTGCATGCAAAAAACAAACAAAAACAAAAACCTAGGAATTTGGCTCTGAGAAACAAAGGATTATATATTTTCTGAGCAATGAACTGAGGGAGAATTCTCATCCCGTGACAAATTCTGTTGTTACATTGGAAAAAAAAAATTAAGGTCCCTGTAAACTACAGAAAGGAAAGAAAGAGATACATAGCTTCTGCCGTGGGCTTAGGGTACTTACGTATAACACCTTGTCAATACAACGGAAAACAACGTAACCTTGGCCAAAAAGGGAGGGACACTTTGCCAGTGTATCAGAGACCTATGCTGGACTTGTCACTCTGCCCTGCCTTCACACTCAGATTCCGATCCTGTGCTGATTTATGGATTTTCTCTAGTAGAAAATAGGATGTGAGTCTCACCTACCCAAGTGAATTTGAGATACTTGATTTAGAAAATACATGGAAACAGGGATAAAGAGCAACCAACTCACAACCAAACTTCTTTTCATTAAAGTGTCAGTAGGTCTTCAAAACTGATGTCTCATATTTCATGTAAATGAAAAGAAAGTCAGATGACACAAGGCCAGGAAAATAAACACCCCCATGCTTATAATTAGAAGCTCTTTCCAGAGATCTGATCACGTCCATGTGTGATAGGATAGAGTGTGAACATTTCGTGAGGCACCGGGAGGTTAAAAAAAAAAAATCCTCCCTTCAAGGAAAAAGCCCACATGATCGGGACGGCCTGCTACCCAACTGTGCTGCCATAGGTCCTGGAGTGTCCTGGAGTGGCAGGGAAGGTCGCTGCGAATATTTGTGTTGCTCCCTTCTCCCCAGATCTGTTCAGCTAATTAGAGACTCCTTTGGGATTATCAAGATATTTATTTTTCCCTCTACCCCAGTAAGGGTAAGCTTATTGTGTTATTAACGCACCTTATTCTCAGTTACCTAAATTAGGTTTTCTGCAATTTGATCATCCAAAGCAAAGATTTAGATTGGAACCAAAGCCAGTTGGTCCTTTCCGCTGGCTTGAGCTGGAGGCATGATGAAAGAAGGGGCTCTGGTGCCATTGCCATTTCTCAATGTCTAGTTTTAGAACAAAGCGACAGAGAAGAGTGCAAGCTAGCACAGGAGAGGCATACTTAGAAGACTACTGAGGAATTTGACAGTGGAGAGGAAATTTACAAAGGGGAAAAACATGTATTATTCTTATCAAGTGTCTTTATGCAAGTGACTGTTAACTGTCCTGTCGCCATAGCAAGAACTCTGCACCTCCTAATATTCATTTGAAGAAAGTATAAAACGCAATCCCCAAGGACTTTGTCCAGTCTGTGTTGAATGGTGAAAGATGTTACGACAGGCTGGAGTGATCAGGGAAGGCTTCCTAGAAGAGGTAGTATTTGGTCTTAAGGTCTGAGTAGAGTGCACCAGGAGGACAGGAAAGAGAATGGCATCCCAAACAAGAGGCACAGAAAAAGCAAAGCCACAGAGTTGTGAAAGGTCAAGATGCTTTCAATGGAAGCTAATGAAAGTAGCCTGGCTGAAGCAGAGACATTCAGGGATATTAAATACATGTATTATTAAATACACTTAACAGTTCAATTAAAAGGAAAGAGATGCAGTCCAATGGTACACTTCTTTATCAGAAACTTGTTTTTCAACCAGAGGTAATGATAATACCAAAAGTATAAGGGTGAATCTAAGCCACCAGAACTATCATTATTATTTTTAAAGATTTTATTTGTTTGTTTGAAAGAGAGCAAGAGCAAGCAGGGGGAGGGAAGGGGACAAATAAGCAAGATCTGCACTGAGCACGGAGCCTGATGTGGGGCTCGATCTCAGGACCCCAAGGTCATGACTTTGAGCTGAAATCAAGAATCGGACACCTCATGGACTGAGCCACCCAGGCGCCGCTATCATTATGATTATTAAATGCAATATCCATGTGATTCAGAAAAAGCCCCCACCCTGGATGAACCCACCATCCACATTGTCTAGGCTTATATCCTAGCAAATGAAAACTTACAGAGACATCTTACCCCATGGAGCAACAGCTCCCAGTCATCTTCCTATGTTTCTCTAGTCCGTTCAGAATTTTATTCTCCACATTATTTCACACCTTTTCCATCCTTTTTGAACCTTCAGTGAACTTCCACTCTTTTTTTTTTTTTAAAACTTCCACTCTTGAGACAGAGCTGTGAAAAGGAATTTTAGAAATGGAGGTGTAGGATGAATCCTGGTCACTACCAGGAGTTTGAAATGGGATATCTCTGGCAACGTTTTCTAGCATCATTTTTTTAGGACTTCACTTGTCTTTTCCTTTCCTGAATTTCTCCTTCTATACTTTACACATACTAACTCCAGGGTTTTCTTCTTTGACTTATCTACTCTCTCACAATGGATTTGTAGTGTTTGTAGACTCCTGTAGTATAAATACTCCCACCATGGCCAATTTCAAGCTACCACCAGCTTGAAATATTTAACAGCCAACCCGAGAGTCTAGGAGCTGGTTCTAGCTCTGTGGGCTCCCTGAGTTGTGCTGTGCTTCTTTTTCCTCACACAGCTCTTCCTGTGGGCCTCTACTCTCTGGCTTTTGTAGGGATTTTGTGCTTGATAATAGGGTGACAACAGCCAGGATCAGCTAGCTGTCTGAGTGTCCTTAAATCACTCACCTTAGACCTATGGGCTGCTAAACCACGTATTCTCCTGTTCCATGCATTAGGGCTCACCTCTCATCAAGTTCCATATTCTAGCAAGACTTAGGGAAGCACAACAAGCATCAAAAAGCCTCTTCCATCTTCAACAAAATTCTGGTTTCTTAGCATTCCTGGTTCCTGGGCATAGTTCTTTTGCATGCTTGACAAGAGGCAACTCCCCTCTCTTATGCATTCCCCTTCAGTGCTTGATAAACATCAGTGTGTATGCAAATACCTGGGTATCTTGTTAAAATGCAGATCAGAATTCAGGAGTGAGGTGGGCTCTGAGAGTGAATTTTTAACAAGTTCAGAGACCATGTGTGTGCTGCTAGTCCAACGACTACACTTTGAGATCAGACTTGATACCCTCTAAGGCCATTCCCAACTCTGGTTGGAGAACGCGGTTGCTCACCCCAAGAGGAGTCTTGATTCTCTGCCTGTTGGGCAGGGCTTTTCATCTGCACTCAACAGTTCCGAGGACTCCAGTGGGCTCTCCCAGCCTCTCAGGTCTGAGACCCCACCGCCCTCATCTTTTGCCATATCTTGACTCAGTCCTCAACTGCATCCCATCCTGGCAAAGTCAGTATCCTCTGCTCTTCACATGGTCATCTTCAAAGCTTCTCTCCTGCCCACCCTTTCTTTCCCAGCAACTCGCCTCCCTTCCCAGCTCATCCTCACTTCCCAGGCTAACACTCCCTGCCTCCAGGTCCCCAATCTAGTTTCAGCAGTGCACTTAACACATGTGCATTTTTTTTTAAGATTTATTATTTATTTGAGAGAGAGAGAATGAGAGAGAGCAAGCACATGAGAGGGGGGAGGGTCAGAGGGAGAAGCAGACTCCCCGCCGAGCAGGGAGCCCAATGCGGGACTCGATCCAGGGACTCCAGGATCATGACCTGAGCCGAAGGCAGTCGCCTAACCAACTGAGCCACCCAGGCTCCCAACACATGTGCATTTTTAATTGGGTCTCTTTATGTGGTATCGTTTTTCCATTTGTGTTCTCGTGCACATAATGTCTATTTACACCCTCTCTTGAGACTTCAAGAATAGACATCATGACTTTTCTCTCTTTCCCTCTTCTCCAAGTCACATAGGTCACCCCAGGGAAACGACATTCACAAGTATCAACTAGTGTCTTCTGGTGTCTCATCTTCCCTATTCCTCTCTAAGTCCTTCCTTGACTAAGTGATGCACCTTTCTCTATGTTGCAACCTTTTTCCTCTCTCCTGTAATATTATATAGACCCAAACCATCTCAGCTTCGTCATATGAGGGAGCATAGAATTAAGAGTCCAGACATTGGGTGACAAGGTCCTGCCTGAGCTCAAATTCCACTTTCACCTTTTATTAAATATGCAAGTTCAGGTAGGTGATTTTGCCTGTCTAAAATTGTTTCTTTGTAAAAAACGGAATAGCATGAACAAACTAATTGCAACCGTCTCCTACAGTCAGGAGGGCACCGGCCCTCGGGGAGGCATCGTGGCTTGTGACCTTGCTTGCCAGGCAGCCACAGTCTCAGATAAAGTGGTTTAGGGCTCACTTATTTTTTAATCATGAGGAATTTAGAGTAGCTCAACATCAAGCAGGACCTCATATTCTTGTTCTATTAATAGTGCCTGGGTTCTGGCTTGATTCTTGGGACCTTATCGCCCAGATCCACAACTGGTTTTTATCCTCATAAGTTGCTGGATAATGTTGTACTTTTTCTCCTGAGTCCTCCTATTCATTTATCTACCTACTGTGCATCTGCTAGTATTCTAGAAACAAAGGTTTAAATCCTCCTCTTGAGTCCTATTCTCAAGCCTGGGTCTCCTCTTTCCACAGCCAGATTTCCCTAATGACAACTATTGAGCAAGTGACACCTCTTATCACTTCCAGGTGAGGCTTCCCACTCCTCCAGGAGCAAAAGTTCAAGATATCAACACACTCCATGGCCGAAGGTCTCCAAGAAAGATGTAACTTACACAGGCACTGGATAGAACAATGCGTTATTCCCACAGAGAAGAGACAGAGCAAGATCAGTTTCAGTTGTGGGTACTGGTCCCTCATGGCCAGCAGATCTCATCCTGCAGCTGATGCAGGGGATGGTCTGCAGGCATCCTTCTCCTGCTGCGAGACAAGGACCCGATTCCCTCCCCACCAGCAATGGATAGAATAGTGGGGTTGACCAGGTGCTGTATGACACACAGACTTAAGCAGAACAAAGAAGTGCACATTTAGTCTAAAATAGGAAAAGATATTCCCACACGATGTGATAAGCTCAGCACAAGCTCAGCACAAGCTATAGGACCCTGAGATCATGACCTGAGCCAAAATCAAGAGTCAGAGACACTCAACCGACTGAGCCACTCAGGCGCCCCTCCTCTCCCTAATTTTTAATTAGATTTGTTTTTTGTTTATTTTGCTGTTGAGTTGTATAGAAATGCATTTAAAAATTATTTAAGTTGTATGGAAATGCATAGTAATGTGAAGAGTCATACAGGAGAGAAAATTTGGCTATAGGGGTAAAAGGAAAGAGAAAGACACATGCTGTTTCTGCAGGATATGCTATAGACCACCAAGCCAGATTAAACATAAAGGTAATATTTTTGTAATATAGGTTATAAAACTGGCAAAAAGACCAATTCTAGTAAAAGATGTAACTATGAAATATCTGCTAGAAATCAAATTCTTTTCAAAGTAGTGAATCAGATGCATTTTCACTTGCTTTGCTAATATAATAAAACTACAAAACCCAAAGATTGTGTGGAAAGGGGGAGGAATCAAAGCTAACAGTTATCTTCTTATTAGAAAGTTTTGAAAATATGGGAGGAACTGAATGAATTGAATTGAACTGAACTGGAGAATGCACAGAATTGCAAGCAACAGACTAGAAAGACAGCTGGATCTAGGTAGAGTTTTTCTGTAATAGTCTTATAAAAATCAGTTAGATCACTGTTAGAGATTTAACAGGCCATTTTTTTCTTCTATTGAGCATTACAGCTAAAAAATATCCTTACATTTACATATAAAGCAGTGAGGTCTAAAGTTATGTTATTTTAGCATATGGTCCTATTTCTGAAATGCTAATTTTGGTAGGTATTTAGGCAGTTAGTGCAAACATTGAAATAAGAAAATCCATCACCTACATTCTACAAGTTATATTTCCCACTTAGAGCTAATGTTTTCAAACTGTCCACACTTCATTTTAATCAACTTTTATTTTCTGTTGTCCTATCATCACTTTACTGAATCAACTTATGAAGCTTGTATTTAAAAAACAATGTTGCTCATGATTTCAGTAGCTCAGTAATCAGTCCTCTAGCTGGATGGGAAGAAATTAATCTCAAGATCAAGGCCAAGTCTTAGGTCATCCAAAAGCATCTCTCAGCATGCATGAATTCCAGAATTTCAGCTATAACTGCACTTTAATGAAGAGAAGATATAAAAAGCATCTCAGATCATATCTGCACCAAGCAAATTATTAACATTGCAGACTGAGTCTTTTTTTTTTTCACTGAAAGATCAAAATTATTCTTTTTTTAAACAGGTAAATACAGTTTGCCAAGTAAATATTTGCAGTCATTAAATAAATATTGGGATGTTAACTATGCCTAAGAACTGTGCTTGTTACTATAAAACAGGCTGAAGAAAAGATGGAAAATTTATTTTCCAAGTTTCCCAAGTTTTAAAATATATTACCTATAAATGTTTCTCTTAGAGGCATCTGATCTATATATCATAGAATGCCATAAAAATGGCTACATTTTTGTTCCTTTAGCACAAACTCTTTGAAACTTTGGCCAAAACAATTCAACTTTTTAAAAATTAAAATAGATGTTTCTCCAATGTGTTTTTGGGTGGCTTAAGTTATCTAAAAAACATGTTTGAGGCAGTACCCAGAAAGCACATCCTGACAAACAGAAAATGCTGATTTTGTGAATAATTTCCTGCTTGTTAGTATATGAGCATCTGGGTATCTGATGAAATGCACACTAAGATGTTACCCTCTCCACCAAATTCTCAGTTTTCTGTGTGTGCACACAGTACTTCCATGACTGGGAAGCTATTGACCATGAAACGTACCATTGATTAAGTAACAGATATTTGGGGAAAAAGAAACCACTCTATAAAATGTATACATGGTTATAAATGTTAAAATAGAGAGAAAGGTATACCTTAGAATCCAGGTAATATAATATTCTCATAAACATGCATGTACATACATATATATTTTTTTCTCCTAAGCATACCTATATATATGTTCATCTCTTTCTCTCTCTCTCTCTCACTCACACACATACACAGACACGAACACACACATCACCTATGTGGGACAACCTCCAACATCACAGTAAATATATTTCAATCTCACATCCCAACTAACACACGCCATCAGTAGAAACACACTTCTCACATAGTGATGCAATTCCACAGTTTGGGTGCCATTTTCCATGCTTTAAATATTACAGTGCAAACGATGATTTCAGTGTGACATATTGTGGGGAGTTTAAATTTACAGCAGTCGGGGAATTCCCGAAGTATGTGAAGAACTTCTAAATATCACATGTGCACACAATGACTGAATATAAATAATAAAGAATGATCTTTTTTTTTTTTTAAAGATTTTATTTATTTGTCAGACAGAGAGAGAGAGCACAAGCAGGGGGAGTGACAGGCAGAAGCAGACTTCACACTGAGCAGGGAGCCTGATGTGGGACCTAATCTCAAGACTCTGGGATCATGACCTGAGCTGAAAGCAGATGCTTAACCAACTGAGCCACCTAGGCGTCCCAGTAGAGAATGATCTTAACATTGATTTTCATTGTGTTTAGAGGCACTTAAATCATATCACAAATGAAACTGCATTATTTCTATGTTGATTTATATAATTTTAATTATTTAGGGCCAATCACTTTCTAAAACTCTAAATAAAGTAAAGAGGTTATATGTGACATTTTGAGCGGAAGTTTAAACATGGCTCCTAGCCACAGGAGGAAAATATAAGGCAAAAGATAACAGATAAACAAGAATGGAAGATGACATAGCCATCTGTTACCTTCCCAAAGGACATGTTGGTTTTTCATGACGGTGTTCCCTGTTTTCTTTTTCAATGCTTTACTGGGCAGCATGCTGCTGAGTTAGCAACAGTCAGGTATAGGTTTGAGACAGACACTATTGATAATAGCTAACTGACTTTAGGTATCCCTAAGATATATACCCTGGCTGATCCTAACAGATTTTGGACAATGCTTAAAACTTTAGGGCACAGGTTTAACCTCAGGTAAGAATCTCAAAGCTACTGAAGAAAAGATAAACTTTTCACATACATGTACACATATATACATATATTTCAAATGCAAGGCAAAAAATTATATAGAAAAAGTCATTAGAATGAAGGGGGGGAAATCAGAGGGGGAGACGAACCATGAGAGACGATGGACTCTGGAAAACAAACTGAGGGTTCTAGAGGGGAGAGGGGTGAGAGGATGGGTTAGCTTGGTGGTGTGTATTGAGGAGGGCACATTCTGCATGGAGCACTGGGTGTTATGCACAAACAATGAATCATGGAACACTACATCAAAAACTAATGATGTAATGTATGGTGATTAACATAACAAAGAAAATTAAAAAAAAAAAGAAAAAGTCATTAGAGAAAGTAAAGATATCAGGCTCTAGGAGATAATGTACCAGGATAATCTTAAACTATCCCATGACAAACAACTAGAAATGTCAGATAAAATAAAACAGTATTTTTTTGTAAGTGTATAGAAGTCTCTGTAAGAAACAGAAATCCTTAGATGCTAATAATGAAGAGGGAACTGAAAACCTGAGAAATAAGAATGTGTGCTCTGATACAAATAATCCAATTAAAAATGGGCAGAAGACATGAGCAGACACTTCTCCAAAGAAGACATCCAGATGGCTAACAGACACATGAAAAGATGCTCAACATCAGTAATCATCAGGGAAATGCAAATCAAAACCATGATGAGATACCACCTCACACCTGTCAGAATGGCTAAAATCAAAAACATAAGAAACCACAAGTGTTGGCGAGGATGTGGAGAAAGGGGAACTCTTGTGAACTGTTGGTGGGAATGCAAACTGGTGCAGCCACTCTGGAAGACAATATGGAGGTTCTTCAAAAAATTAAAAATAGAACTATGATCCAGTAATTGCACAATTGGGTATTTGCCCCCAAATACAAAAACATGAATTCAAAGGGATACATGTGTCCCTATGTTTATTGCAGCATTATTTACAATAGCCAAGAAATGGAAGCAACCTAAGTGTCCATCAATAGATGAATGGATAAAGAAGATATGGTATATATATATATATATATATATATATATATATATATATATATATATATATATATAATAAAAGAATGAAATCCTGCCATTTGCAACAACATGGGTGAATCTACAGAGTATAATGCTAAGTGAAATAAGTCAGTCAGAGAAAGACAAATACCATATGATTTTACTCCTCTGTGGAATTTAAGAAACAAAACAAATGAACAAGGGGAAAAAAGAGAGAGAGAAAAAAACCCCAAACAGATTCTTAACTGTAGAGAACAAAGAGATGGCTACCAGAGAAGAGATGGGTGGGAGGACAGGTGAAATAGGTGATGGCGATTAAGAGTACATTTATCTTGACGAACACTGAGTAATATATGGAACTGTAGAATCACTATATTTTACACCTGAAATGAATATAACACTGTATGTTAACTACACTGGAATTAATATATATGTAAAAAAAGAATGTGCTCTGATAAAGGGGCTATTTTAGAAAATAGCTCTCCATTGCAGTAACCTAAGAGCTTGAGTAATTTTTCCTTTTATGTTGACTTAAATTTCTATAAATCTTATCTTAAAATTATAAATCTGATGTGCACATATTTTAAGTGTGTAATTTGATGAGTTTAAAAAAATGTATATATCCATGTAACCAATCAAGAGATAGAACATCTCCATCCCAGAACGTTCCCTTAGCCCCCTTCCAGGCAATCTCTACATCCACAGGCGATTATTCTGATTCCAATCACCACAGATTCCTATCACCACGTTCTTGAATTTTACAGAAATGGAATCATAATGTATGTATTCTTTTATGTATGGCTTCTTAAAAATGGCACAGGAAGATCCATGTTTCTACACATAGCTATGCCCAATGGGGTTGCTTAACTCCAACAAAATTTAATAATGACGAAGGGTTTTTTTTTTTTTTTTTTTTGAGAATGGCAATCTTACACTTTGCTATACTGTAAAGGGAATACAGAGGATTCTAGTATCAATCTCCTGTTCCACCTCATTAAGAAGCTGTTAGAACCCTTAACCAGTATGGATGGATAAGAGCCTCTGTAATGGTCCTATCTTTATGGTGCAAGTAATTTCTGTCACACAGGTATAGATCTGTGTGCAAATGTTGACTTTCTCTTCAAAGATCGTAGTTTCAAGATTTGGTCTTTGCAGGATGCACTTATTTATACATCACCTTCAAACATGGAGCCTTTGTTATTTTGCTAACCTGAGAAATCCTGCAGTTTTATGTTTCCAACACAGGTTTGCTGGGTCTTCTTCTCTGGAGCTGGGGATGAGGTAGGTTTCATTCTGTCTTCCTGGGACAAAGATATGGAAAGGCTTTGCTATCTAATTTCCTTATAAAATAGCTTACTGTGGGGCACCTGTGGGGCTCACTCAGCTAAGCATCTGCCTTCAGCTCAGGTCATGATCCTGGGGTCATGGAATAGAGCCCCACGTCGGAGTCCCTGCTCAGTGGGGAGTCTGCTTCTCCCTCTGCCTCTGCCCCCCATTTGTGCTCTCTCTCTCTCAAATAAATGAATAAATATATTTTAAAAAATATCTTACTGCTTGAAGAAGCTTTTGTGCAGGACCTTTATGCCTCCTCCAATCAACAACTGCACAGAACTTCTATTTAATTAATTTTCTTCCAAAATTTTATGGGTTACATGCACTGCAAGGAGCCTGGAGCAGTGGGAGGCTGTGAGAGGGACCCTAGACTGGTTTCCTTTCACCCTTTCTAAAGATGGTGGTGAGGATAGTGGCCTAGAAATGTTATGGCATTTCTTTGGCTCTCCAGATATAGGAATTAATGAATGAATGATTTTTTTTTTAAAGATGCCTATGCAGATGGAGTGCCTGGGTGGTTTAGTCGGTTTAGCATCTGACTCTTGGTTCCTGCTCAGGTCATGATATCATGGTCATGGGCTCCAACCCTGTGAGGGCTCCATGCTCAGCGCTCAGCACAGAGTCTACTTGGGATTCTCTCCCTTCCCCTCTCCCTCCCTCTTTGCCCCTCTCCCCCCACACACACTCTCTCTCTAAAATAAATAAACAAAACCTTTAAAAAAATGCCTGCAGAGAAGCTAAGATACCCAACTGTAAATTCCCCACCTTGAAGATATTCTTCTGCATATCACTGCATTCAAGTGAGTGAGTGTTTGGAGCTTACTAGGTAATGACTGGTGCCTGCCCCGAGCTGCATACAAAGTTGCAGGATGGCTGGCATCCTTCAGGTGCTCCAAACAAGTGAGCACATGATCAGTAAAATGCCCCTGCTGAGTTGTTAAATGGGGCTGTGCTAGCTTCCCAGGCTTGAAAAGAAATGCAGGCGGTAGCATCCTAGCAAAGCTCGGCCCACATGGCAAGCCAGTGACCTTAGTGGATGAGCTCTCTCAGCTCCTCTCCCCATGTGAACACCTGTCAATACGTGTGCCTCTTTTCTCCCACTGGTCAAATTTTAGATGTTTTAGTTAGTCCATGACGGCAAAGGTCTTCCTTGTTTGAAGCTCTAGGCAGGGTTTAATCACAGCGGCTCAGAGCTGGAATGGCCTTAAAGGTCTGGCTAAATCAAGGCTGCTGGGATTCAGATTTGTGCTTTGTGACATCCCACTGGAGGCCATCTCTATCACAGCAGGTGAAGGAGGGAGAAAACATTTCAGTTGGGCCAGAGCGGGAGTGGGGAGAAAAAAGGGAGGTGAGTAATGGCTCCCTGGCCCATGCAGGAATGGAGGCATCTAGGCTCAGGGGGAGGAAGAAACAGGCCAGGAAGGACAAGGGGACTGGGACAGATCTGGGGAGGGCAGTGAGAAGTTCAAGACCTCTGACATTGGGAGATCACAGCGAAGACTGAAAATGAGCGGAACAGGACCCAGGGAAGACCGTGGGCCATGAACCACAAGCAGAAGAGAGGTAATTGAGCAGCCTTACCCCAGCGGGCACCACCTTAGCAGGAGACGGCTACCGGGCAGATGCTGGAGGCCCCCCCTCTTGGCTGGGTCTGTGGCAGCTGGGTGAGGAGTCAGCACCCGGCAGTCATTCAACCTTTTCTGAAGCCCAGTCTCTAGTCATTTCTGAAAAAAAAGACAAAAAAATCGAGGAGGAGCTGTGGTTTTTTCCTTCAGAAGTGATATGAGTGAACCCATTATGTGTTTCACTGATAAAAGCAATCACAACCTAAGAGCAGCCAATGTGGGGTTGAGGAACGAACGCTACTTTAATACATTTGGTCCATCTGTGATGTTGCTGATAGTATTGGCAAAGGATAGACATGGTTTGTCCAGCAGCAACACCTAAGGACTTGTCAACATACCACCACCCCCTAGAAATACATTCAGAAAGTAGAGTGGGGCTTTTACTCATTTAAGAGACCAGAGAGAGCTAGCTTACGTACTACATGTATTTCAGGAAGAGAGAAAAACGGATTTCTCAGCAGGTGCCTCTCCATATCCCCAGGGCCTCCATCTTGCTTCCAGTGGCACCAGACTGCACACACCAGCCAGTCCCTCCCCTTTCCCAAAACTGGGTGCACCCTTCTGGGCAGCACCTCCATGCATGAGCCAGTCACAGGCACACGTTCTGTACTCAAATACCAGCTCTTACTGGCCGTATAAACTTTGGATGTGCTTTTTTTGTTGTTGTTTTTTAAAGAGAGAGCGGGCAGGCAGGGGGTGGGGGGCAGAGGGAGAGGGAAGAGAGAATCTTAAGCAGACTCCATGTGCCGTGTGGAGCCTCATGCGGGGCTGCATCTCATGACCCCAGGATCATGGGGCTGAAACCAAGAGCCGAAACCAAGAGTCGATGCTTAACCAACTGAGCCACCCAGGTGCCGCAAGGATGTGCTTCGATTTCTTCATCTAAAAAAAGAGAAAATATAGGACCATAGGGCCATTGTGAGAACCACATTTAATCATTTATGTAAAACACATACCACAGTATCTGAGGCATAAGCGCTCAGTAAATATCTTCATCATCATCATTTTCTCAGGTCTTCTCCCCACTCAGTGTATGCCTGCTCTATGACTTTCTGCCTCACCTTACAGGGACAGAGCCGGCAACAGCAGCTCCATCTCATGCACTGTCTCTGACACCAGTCTGCCAAACCAAGGTATGCCCAAAGCACAGCATTCCAACAATACCAGGGCTAGAAAGGAACATTCTTGACCAGATCTTTGTGAACACTTTATTTTAAAGATTTTATTTATGTATTTGAGAGAGCGAGTGAGCATGCACAAATTGGAGGAGGGGCAGAGGGAGAGGGAGAAGCAGACTCCCTGCTGAGCAGGGAGCCCAGTGTGGGGCTCAAACCCAGGGCCCCGGGATCATGACCTGAGCCAAAGGCGGACACTTAACTGACTGGGCCACACAGGTGCCCTCTTTTCGAACATTTTAAACCAAGCAATAAAGCAGGTTTCGATGGTATATATTTATTATACCATTAATCTGTCTGATGGAAGCATGTGGTATACAGTTAGGGCATCCTAACGATTTTTAGCCAAATAAATGAGGCCTGGAACTTTTCTGACTAACTAATCAAGTCACATGCTCCTTCTCGTATCAGGTGGCTTCTAAACTTCTGGGAACAGGAAAGCCATGCTGGAATCCAATCTACTGTGGGAGAGAAATACATCCATAGGCAAGCAATGGTAATGTCATGTGGTGATGCTGCCATTCAGAGAGATGATAATACCGTACTGTTTACTGAGTTCCCACTCTGTGTCTGGCATTATACTAGTTAGTTCCCATATTGCGACATATTTAATTCTCATAACAACTCTTCAAGAAAGGTCTTATTACCCCAATGACGTAGATGAGAAGGCTAATGCAATCTGGTTCAGGGGCACCAACTTAGCAAGTGGCAGAGCTCCTGTAGCAACTTGTAATTTAGGTCTGTCCGACCCCAAAAGTACTAATCCACACTGGGTGCTAGGAGGCTGGGAGAGGGCTGGTAAGGGCCTGGCTGAAGAGTGACTGATTTCATAAGGAAGAGAGGAAGCATCACAAAGGAGATGAACTTGACCTTGTAGAATAAGAAGTTCGCCAGTTCAACAGGAAAGAAAGAGCATTTTAGCAAGAGGCCATGTTGGCAAAGGTGTGGAAGCATGCCGTATTTGGGAAACTGTGACAGAGTGGCCCAGTGTGATGGTGGCACTGAGCACATGGATGGGGCTATAGTCCCTTCTAAGTGGATTAGTGTGTCCCAGTACTGGGACCAGCACCTCACTTCACTCATGATCTCCAGTGTAGACCATGTTGCCTTGTCCCATCTGGCGCCGCATTTCTAATCCATTTCTGCTTTCCTCAGCTCCCAGTGCTGTGCCACCTAATACTGCCCTTCTGAGACAAACCCCTGGCTTCTTTTCCTGATCAGCATTGATCCCTCCAACTAGTCTGCTTCCAGAAGTCAAGACAACTGACCCGTCCAACCTAGGTTGAGACAGAAGACATTATCCATGTGCCTTCTGTTTCCTAGTTCCAGAAATCGGCCTGGACTTTACTCTGTAGGCCAGGAGCTCTTAACTTGGAATACATGGACAGCCTCCGTGGAATCATGAACCACTAGAATTCTAGGAAAAATATTGTAAGTGAACTATTAAAGGGACATGAAGCTTTCATTAGATTCCCAAAGGGAAATATGACGTTCTCAAAAGATCAAAAACCATACAAATGCCACACTGTTCAATACTGTAGCCATTAGCTACATATGGTGATTTACATTATCTAAAATTAAATAAAATTAGAAATTCAGTTTCTCAATCTCACTAACCACACTTCAAATGCACATATAGACATTAGCACAGATTATAGGACATTTCTTTCTTTTTTTTTTTTTTTAAAGATTTTATTTATTTATTTGAGAGAGAGAATGAGAGAGAGAGAACATGAGAGGGGGGAGGGTCAGAGGGAGAAGCAGACTCCCTGCCGAGCAGGGAGCCCGATGCGGGACTCGATCCCGGGACTCCAGGATCATGACCTGAGCCGAAGGCAGTCGCTTAACCACTGAGCCACCCAGGCGCCCATAGGACATTTCCATCATTGTAGATAGTTCTATTGGATAGGGCTGGCATAGATAACGAGGTGCCACGGAGGATGGCAAAGAGGGGAATCACCTGTGGCGTAAAAGGCTAACAGCAAGTGGAGGACAGATCTGGGGAGGGAAACGCTACGAGTTGGGAGGGTCTGGGAGGAATCAATCTCATAGAGTAGGGTTGGGAATGGAAAGGAGGTCACAAGTGTGAGAAATATGTCAGAGCACTTAGGGAAGGACTAGATGAGGGGATAGAGGCAGAGAAAGAAGTCAAAGCCAACTCTAAGTTTTCTCATGCCTACATGGGTTCCTCTCCAGCCTCCCTCTCCTTCTACTGCTTTCCCATTTTCTTTCAAAAGACTGGGCCAGGTCCTGGGTCAGGGCCCTCACCCTGCCATTCCCTCTGCCTAGAATATTCTTCTTCCAGAGAGCCAAATGTCTTCTTCCCTCACCAGCATGAGTGACTAAGAGATGGGGAGACAGTGAATGTCACAGAAATAGGTGTGAGGGTGAAAAAGCTGATGAGTCATTCTGCTGATGTGAGTCTGGAGGGGGCCAACGAAATGCTGAGTCATCACAGATCAGTGACACATATTCACTAAAGAAGGGCAGATAGTCACCACCAGACCTGGCCCTGAGCAGCATCGGAAAACAGGTGAAACCGCTCTCTCACCCCAGGTACCCAAGGCCCTCAAGTATTCACCATCTTTTCAGATCTTTTCTCAGGAAATGTCCTGATAAACTTATCAATACTGAGTACTAAGACACTAATATGTATGGTATGGTAGCCAACCCAAATGCTTTTCATTTTAATGTAGGAAAGGGTCCCAAGCCATAAGACTGAATCTCTAATGGTTGATTTTTATGCATTGCTGACAAATCTGGTGAGAACACACTTCCCCTATTCCTCCTACTCCTGATACCTCATAGGTGGGCTCCTCATCTCCTTATGAGCTGACTAAAGCAATTTTTGAAAGGCATTTAGCAAAGAGGGTGGACAGAAAAATTCTTTGTGACTAACTCCCCATTACTCAGAAAATGTAAATGGATCAAACGTCCCATCCCCTCCCCCTCCGAGCATGTTGGTAATCACAATGTTACTGTATAATGTGAAAATTTCCAAATAGAACTAAACTCAGGTCTATAAATATACATGATTAAGGCTTCAAATATAGCACTGCTTTATTTTCATGGGGGCTATTTCTGTGTGGTGATTGCTTGGCTGATTTGCAATTTCAGAATACAAATGGCTTTTCTCCATAACTAATGGGAAACTTGGCAGGGTGCTGCACACCCAGGCCCTCCTGAAAAAGTCTGTTAAATAGTGGTAAGTGCTCTTTCTCTGTATTACATAAGCAGAGCTGACAAAAGGCAACAGTACAACTCCAGAGCCTGCTAAAGTGAAATAGTGTTTGTTTGGTTTCTCTTCTTATGCTAGAGGAATTCTGACTCTTCTGGTAATAAATCATGAAATGATCATGAGCACATATCCCTATGATAGTCTCCATTAAAAATACTATGGTACAAATTAGGAATAATGCCAATGGAGAGTTCTCGGACACTGGATTTACAAGTAACTAAAAAATGTTTAAATAAGAATGGTGTAAATACACTCATAACCATGGGGACAGAACCAAAAAAAAAAAAAAGGGAATGCCTGAAGTAAGGAGCTCAATGGCTGTTATAAGCAAAACACTGACTAAAGAGTTTATTATCTCCATCTAATAGGGAGAACAGTGTAAGTATGACCTATGGTGATCTCAGTACCATAAAGCAAGTTTTCTAATATCATCACAGACAGTACAACCCACCTTGGAGCCAGGCCTTTGTAGATCAATATAACAAAATGGTTCTATTTTGAAGCAGTTTGGAGAATGATGCACTTTGGAGTCAAAGTTCACATCCCAGTTCTCTCACTTATACATTTTCTGACTTTGGATAAATAAGGCTTAAAGAAATTTTCTCAAATGTACAATGGGGATTTTAAAGTAATACCTATGTTTTAGGGTTATTAAGAAAAATCAAATGAGAGAGGATATAAAACCACAGTAAATACCCAGTAAACATCTTTAATATTTTATCTAAAAGTCTATCTTCAGAGTCTCTCACTGATTTGTGAGCCTCCTCCTCCTGGCTCCATGGTCCCTCTTCCTGGAGAACCTTAAAGCATTTCTTCCTGCCAGACACTTCTAAGGATGTAGTCAGGCCAGATGTTGAATTAGAACTCAAGTCAATGGCAGGGCCCCCAAACCTTGTGTGGAAGAAGCAGATCTCACTGGAGTGGTTGTTTTCATTAAAACAGAACTCCAGGTAAGGAGGCAGAATTAGGGGGATGTTAATCAAGTTTCGGTTTTAAGACTCTTCTTTTGGATGGCCCCTTCTAAGACCTTATGCCTAATTTTGTATTCATAAATTTGCATCCTTTTTCCTTAAAGATGGCTCTTAAAATTGTATATGCTTTGGGCCCACCAAAACTCACAAGTGCTCCTGTCTATTGCATAAGCTGTAAGCCCATCTGGCAGCAGGGCTGACCTGAAGATGGGGGTCACAGGGCTAGCCCCAAGTGTCTGCTTTCCACCTTCTGCTGATGAGTCCCAGGAGTGGTCAGAGATCAGGGATAAGGCCATGTTGCAGGTGGGTCTAGAGGTTCCTAGATGAAAAGAAGAGCCAAGTGGTATCAGGAATGAGGTAGGGTCTGACCAAGCTGAGGATTAAGGGTAATTTTTCTGCAACAATACAACTCCTGAGACTGCTAAAGTTAAATAGTGTTTGTTTGGTTTCTCTTCTTATGCTAGAGGGATACTGACTCAAAAGTTAAAGTTCAATAAAATAAATAAGATGTGACAAAAACGGGTACAATAAGGCATTAAATCAGTGTTTCTCAAGTGCGATCCAGTCCGGCTCAGATGCTATAGCCTGACCAA